TGCACTTGATCTTATCTTAGCCAAAAGGCCGAGAAAGGTATTGGGTCTGTATATCGACAGTCGTGGGTGTAGTACCCATTTGACTAGACCCACAAAAACAAAATCTACCCCACCGGTTGTTTTTGTTTTGTTTCTTGTTATTTATTTATTTATTTATTTCTATTTCACCCTCTGTACTTTGGACACACAGGGCCATCCAAGTTTTTTTTTTTAATTATTATTTTTTTATTATTTTATTTACCATCCAAGTACTTGGTTGCACTGGGCCTGACAATTCATCGGGGTGCGTGGGTGGGTGCAAGACAGCCAAGATCTCCGGACTCGTTTGTCTGTAAGTGTAGATGTGTGACGACCTGGTGCTCTACAGTGGGCATACTCGCACTGACGCTTTTCCAAATGTATCTGACTGCAAGTACGCCTCGAGCTGGATGCATCTGACTGTAATCACGTCCAGAGCGTAGTTGGAAAATGTCCTAGTGTTAGTGTGCCCGTGAGGTCGGCCTTTTCTGTCCCTCTGGACACATCCATCTCTCTCTCCGGTAAGAATGCTGCTGGAACGATACACAGAGTAGATGGGTTAGCATGGATGGATGGATGGATGGGTCTCGTCTCCTCAAGGAGGATGACTCACACACATCTACGTGTTCAAGAACTAGTCGAGAGAGAAAGAGCGTCCTTCACCTGGCCCAATATGGCTGAATGACACACACACACACACACACACACACACACACACACACACACACACACACACATGTTCCTGTTACTTGACAGATAACGTGTTCGAATCTCCGTCGACGCAAAAGGATACAATAGTATGGTAAGGGGTTACCCCCTTTGTTTGCGATCACGTGTTCGAGAAACTGGTCGATAGAGAAAGAGCTGGGTCCGCGTCCTTCACCTGGCCCTCTGTGGCTGAATGGTACACACACACACACTGGGCGATGTGGTGAGTCCTTATCCATCAGTCAAATGCATCCTGGGCAGACTGTCGGTCCAGGTTCAACCTCCTGATGAGTCGGTGAAAGTCCGACGAAACAGTCTGTTTGGCACAGTCATGCTTTTTTTGAGCGTATAGCGAAGATGACAACACACACACACATACACA